TTCCTTTTAAATCTTTCTCCTCTCACCTTAAACGTATGCTCTCTAGTTTAGGATTCTCATATCTTGGGAAAAAGACTTTGGCTATTCACCCTTTCCATGCCCCCCATGATTTTATAAACCTCTATAAGGTCACCCCTCAGCCTCCTACGCTTCAGGGAAAATAGCCCCAGCCCATTCAGCCTCTCCCTATAGCTCAAACCCTCCAATCCCGGCAACATCCTTGTGAATCTTTTCTGAAACCTTTCAAGTTTAATAATGTCATTCCTATAGCAGAGAGACCAGATTTGGTTGCAGTATTCCAAAAGTGGCCTCACTAAGGTCCTGTACAGCTGTATCATGACTTCCCAACTCCTTTACTCAATTTACTGATAATAAAGGCAAGCATACCAAATGCCTTCTTCACTATCGCGTCCACCTGTGACTCCACTTTCAAGGAACCTTGCACCTGCAACCCTAGGTCTCTTTGTTTGGCAACACTCCCCAGGACCCTACCATTAACTGTATAACTCCTGCCCTGGTTTCCCTTACCAAACTGCAACACCTCACAGTTATCTAAATTAAATTCCATCTATCCCTCCTTGGCTCATCACCCCATCTGATCAAGGTCATGTTGTACTCTGAGATAACCTTTCTCATTGTCCACTATACCACCAATTTTGGTGTCATCTGCAAACTTACTAACCATACCTCCTATATACACATCTAAATCATTTACATAAATGACAAAAAGCAGTGGACCCAGCAGCAATCCTTGTAGCACACTTCTGCTCACAAACTTCCAGTCCTAAAAACAGCCCTCTACCACCACCCTCTGTCTCCTACCTTCAAGCAAATGTTGTATCCAGTTGGCTAGCACCCCCCTGGTTTCCATGTGTCGTATCTTGCTAACCAGTCTAGAATGTGGAACCCTGTTGAATGCCTTGCTGAAGTCCATATAGGCAATGTCTACCACTGTGTCTTCATCAGTTTTCTTTATCATCTCCTCAAACAACTCAATCAGGTTAGTGAGATGCAATTTCCCACACACAAAGCCATCTTGACTGCCCCTAATTATTCCTTGCCTTTCCAAATGCCTGTAAACCCTATTTTTCAGAATTTCCTCCAATAGCTTACCCCCCAACTGATGTCAGGCTCACCTGTCTATAGTTCCCTGGCTCTTCCTTACCACCCTTCTTAAATAGTGGCACCACATTAGCCACTCTCCCCATCTTCTGGTACCTCACCCATGGCTGTCGATGGTACAAATGTCTCAGCAAGGGCCTCAGCAATCTCTTCCCTAGCTTCCCACAAAGTTTTGGGATACACTTGATCAGGTCCTGGGGGTGTATCTAATTTAATGTGTTCTAAGACCTCCTGCATCTCCTCTCCTGTAATATGGGCATTTTTCATGACAACACTATTTATTTCCCCAAGTTCCCTAGCTTTCATGTCCTTCACAGTAGATACCGATGTGAAATGTTCATTTAGTATCTCACCCATATCCTATGGTTCCACATCTTGAGTGCCTCATTGATCTTTAAGGGGCCCTAGTATCTCCCTGGTTATTCTTTTGCCTTTAATGCAAATGTAAATTCTCTTTGGCTTCTTTTTAACTCTATTTGTCAAAGCTATCGCACGTCTCCTTTTAGCACTCTTTATTTTCCTCTTACATACACTCCTATTGCCCTTACACTCCTCTTGGTATTTACCTGATCCCAGCTGTCAATACATGACATAGGCCTCCTTCGTTTTCTTGACCAGAGCCTCAAGTTCTCTAGTCAACCAGTATTCCCTCCACCTACCAGCTTTGCCCTTCACCCTAACAGGAACATGCTGTCTCTGACCTCTCATTATGCGATTTTTGAAGGTCTCCCATTTTCTGGTTATCCCTTTACCTGCAAACAGTTTCCCAAATCAACTTTTGAAAGATCCTGCCTAATACCATCAAAATTGGCCTTACTTCAATTTAGAACTTTAACTTTTAGATCCTCTTCCTTAACTATTTTAAAACTAATAGAAATATGATCACTTGCCCCAAAGTGCTCCCCCACACCTCAGTCATTTCTAACAAACTGCTTTATTGTCTTTGCTGCAGAAGGGTTAATTGTCTTGCTTCACTCCCAGTTTAGTGAAATACTCACTTTTACAGAAACTTTATTTCCTCCTGAACAAGCTGCCGCTACTTATTAGTGATTAATCTCATGTACTTGTTTTCAAATTTCTTCCTCCCATACTTTTATATCCAATGGCTTCTGTTATTTTCTCTTTTAAAATCCTTACTAGGCAAATGTGATTGAGATATTTTAAACCTTGACCTAGTTATCTATCAACTTCAACTTGGCTCCCCAGTGGTTTTAAAAATAATCAGTAGACTTTGAACTGGTCATTTTTGATCTTTGAACCAATTTCGTTTCATTCTGAGCAAGTTCTCTTTTAGGATTGAACTGGTTCTCTTGGCCTTGTTCCCAGTGCAATGAATATGCCACCATTGTTGAATAGATAGATATAATGGTGCAAATACAATAAGCAAAATCCTTTGCCAGACAACGCTGCAGACAGCATAGATGTTGAAAGATGAATTTTATCACTTGAGACTGACATTATAGTGATTATTCAAAAAGGTCAATCCAGGCTAATGGATGGAGAGGACAAACTGCTCAGAAAACCGTTCTGAGACTGGAAATGTCTACTTTGTTGCTTTGGCAAACCTGACTCAGGTACAATAACATCTCCTCAAAAGGGTTTCAATATCTCCAGGCACCAAATTAGGGCTGCCTTCAGCAACATCGTTCCTTATAATCACCAGCCATATAGTGGACATGAGGCAAATCCAGTTGCTCTTCATGGGGTAGCTTCATACTTTTGCTAATGGCTCAAGAGACTAATCCATGAAAGGCAGCATCTGCCAAAAGTATCACATATAAAGTGATTATCAGGTGTTAGTGTGGGTTGTTGTTTTCGGTGTTGGTGCCTTTTGTGAAGCTGTTATAGCCACTGGACAACATTGCTGTGGGTCTGGACTCACTTGTAGGCCAGACTACATGAGGATGGCAGATTTCCTTTCCAAAAGTAAACCTGATGGGTTTTCATGTGGTTGCAATTAGGCCAGCTTCCTTTAATTCCAAATTTTTATTTATTCAAATTTAACCATCTGTTATGGCGAGACTTGAACCTATGTCACCAGAGCAATTGCCTGGGGTTCTGGAATACTAGCCTGGTGAAATCACCACTATGTCACAGCCTCCCTGTTGAGGGCAGTATGGCGGCTCAGTGGTTAGAACTGCTGTATTACAGCATCAGGGACCTGGGTTTGATTCCACCCTCGGGTGCCTATCTGTATAGAATTTGCACAATCTCCCTATGTCTGTATGAGTTTCCCCCAGGGTGCTCCAGTTTCCTCACACAGTCCAAAGATGTGCAGGTTACGTGGATTGGCCACGCTAAATTGTCCATAGTGTCGGGGGATTGCAGAGTAGGTGGAGTAGCCATCAGAAATGCAGGGATACAGGATTTGGGTGAGGGAGATGGGGCAGGGTGGATGATCTTCAGAGCGATTTTGTGGCCTCGATGGGCCGAATTGCCTGCTTCCAGAGTGTAGGGATTCTATGATTATTGATTGGTTGGAATGTTGGCTCTGATTGGCCAAGCTTTTGACATGGCGAAAGCAACAGCGGGCGATAGGAGTTAGCAGTTAGGCTTCCCTAACTCCCAAGAAATTCAAAAAATGGCAAAAGAATTGAACATATTCCTTTTGTTTGCAAGGAACAGGCTTCTGAAATGAATGTATGTTGCTTCCAGCAAGTGAAAAGAGCCACATTACAAATTTATGATTGTCAGTGTAGCTATTAGCACACTCAAGATTGTCCAGTATGTCCAATCAGTTGGCCCACTGGAGTTAATTTGCCAACTAATCAGCATTTTTTTCTCTTATAAATTGTTGGGATCATTTAAAATTTGGAGTTCTTGTGTTTGTCCTGGTACATACAAGAAGGAAAAAGTTCAGGAGCGTGTTTTATTTCAGTAATATTCAGTGTTTAAATTGGTTACCAATGGGAAGATATCCTTCTTACAAATGTCTAGTGCAGAGTGCAACTAGGACATACCATATAACTGTCAAATGACTCCTGACATTGATGGGAAGTGACTGATCTCTCTCTACTGCGCTCCCTGTTCACATTTACCATTCCACCCCACATCCATGGATTTGCTGAGCTGGTGCTCAAAATCTAAAGGTCAGAGCATTGAGGAGTGCGAACACATAGGGTGGGAGCTTCACATGGTATTAGGTACAACAACAACTTGCCCTTGCATGGCAATCTTGATGTAGTGAAAATGTCCCAGGGGACTTCACAGTTTGCCAGAGTCACCTCTTCAAGGCTTTGCAATGCGCTGATGCAGCCTAGTAATTCCCAGTGCAGTGTCTGTAATCTGAACTAATTATCTTTGGTTACATTTGTCAGATCTGAAAGTGCCTTTAGTTCACCGTCTATGGCAAAGCTACTTGTTTAGGTTAGAGACGGTATGCGCTCTTGAACAGCGGATGACCCTCTTGAGGAGCTATTTTCTTTAAGAGTAATAAGAACCTGTAATTACTTTGCACCTTATTCTCTACCGTCCTACTCTGCGTCACAAACAATATGGGATGCAGACATTGCTGGCTGGACAAGCATTTATTGCCCATCCCTAATTGCCCTCCAGAAGATGATGGTGAGCTGCCTTATTGAAGTGTTGCCATCAGTATGTTGCTGGGTAGGCAACTGTTCTTTTTCGCTGAACATAGAGATCTCCTTTAACCCACTTATTGAATTTGACCCTATTGCCAGGCAATACATTATACTGGCCCTCAGTACTGCCCTTCAGTGTTAGAATGGGTTACTTGCTGAACCCTCCCTCCTTGTTGAAACCGTATCTATAACAAAAGCTCACTGCTACTATTGACTTGTTATGAATACTGTCACCCGCAGGCATGTGAGAGTGAAATGAAAGGGGAGTGGGGAAATGAAGGTAAGAATCTGCGGATGCAGGGCTCAGCACTTCGGTCCATTCTAACCAAAGTGGAGGATGATGTGGGGGAGGCGAATACAAACGGCAGATCACAGAGCTGAGGTTCTCAGGCACTTCAAATAAACCATAGCCAAAGCAGGAAGCGGGATTTAAACAGAGTCGAGGCTGAGGAAAGGATGCAGGCAGGCTAGGGGCAGCACTGTAGTTTTTTGACAGGCTTGTGGCAAACGGTCAGAGGGAGTCGGTGCAAGTTTATTCTTCGCTGGATTTGTAGCTATAATTCTACTGAAGGTAGGACAAACGGTGGAACCTGCGTTTCTCGGATGCAAGAGCGGATGGAACTCAGGGCAACGCTTCACCTCAAGGTCCTATTGTTCTGGAAGCTTTTAATTTCCTTGGAAGGTGAGAGGAATGTTTGCAAACTTTGTTCTAACTTTTACCCTCTAAAGTGACATAGCTACTGCAATTTCAGACGCGTTTCGAAGTTAGATAAGCTCCTGGGAACTGCAGAATAAAGCTTTAAAAAAAACAAGCAACTCTTTTTGTTTGAAGTATTTTAGAAGTATTTAGATGTGCAATTGCGATACACACAAGGCTATGGGTCAAGTGCTGGAAAATTGGATTACAATAATTAGGAAGGAGATCTGAAAGAATTAAGAATTCTGGAGAAGGGTCACTCGACCCGAAAGGTTAACTCTGATTTCTCTCCACAGATGCTGCCAGACCTGCTGAGCTTTTCCAGCAATTTCTGTTTTTGTTCCTGATTTACAGCATCCGCAGTCCTTTCGGTTTTTATTTACAATAATTAGGTGCTTGTTCTTGACCGATGGGCCGAAGCACCTTTGTGCTGCAGATCTGTGTGACTCTATATATTCAGGTTACATAAGAAAAACATATTTTAAATCTATATATGCAAATATTATAATGCTTTCCCTTGCTATTTGTGTCAAATGATGCTCATTTAACGTTATAATGTTAACAATTTACAAAATGCATCTCATTCTATCTGGGGTCCACGTAAATTATTGTTGTATTTTAGAAATCCAACTCATGTTTATGGTACAGCGTTTTAGTTTTATACATAATTTTCATTTAAAAAAAGACATTCATCTTTAAAAATCTTCAGTTTGACGGGGAACTAGAATCATGAACTCATTTGGCGTCAGGATATGAATTTAAGAAACAATGTGAATTCATTTGTACAGAAATGAATCTGCCCTTTTAACATGATCAATCGGCTGTAGGTCCGTCTGTACCCCACCCACCCCCCGCCCCCACACCGCAAGCCTGCTTTTTAAAGGGATGATTCACTGGGTGAGATAAAAGTTGTACAGACGCACACACACAAACCTAGTTCGTGTCAACAAATCTCCGATTTCGTAAATATCGCTGTGAAGCTGCTGGAAAAGCGTCTTTTGTCTGTGTTTTTGATTCTAAGCTGCAAATCATTGTGATGAGGGTGGGATAGGTTAGAAGATATGCATTGTGCGCCTTTGATTCGTAACTACAATAGCGTCTAGCCAAAGAACTTTGTAAAAGGGCATGGCCGGTGTAACAGGTCCGCTTGAATTGGCTTCTGTTTCAAAATGATCATCCCGACACAACACATTCCAAACACACAAATACAGACGCAAACCGGAGCGCAAACAAACCTGTAATTAAGTCAATTTACATTTCAAAAAGAACATGTTATTTTGTTTGATTTCCTTTGCACTTTTTGAAACAAGTTACACGTTCAGTCAGAATTTAATTGCAACGCCTTCTTTAATCGCCCCCTCCATACTATTTGTTGGCAACCTTATGAATTCATATTTTCCTCTGATCTGTGTAAGGTGGAGTCCCATTACTATAGTGTTCTGTAGCTGGCTTGTTTCTAGTGGCACAGGGTCGAAATGCATAGGAAGGATTTGACGTCTCAGACCTCAGTGTGTGAAGGTCTCTCACTTGCTTTGGCAGTAGGTTGCAAGAATTTACCTCAGCACAATCTGCAAAGTGAAGAGACTGGCCAAGTAACCCCCACGCACCACGCCCCCCCCCCCCCCACACACACACACACACACACACACAGTCCTGGTGGAGAATGATCAGAGATGTTGAGCCTGTTCATCTTTTCATGAGTAACCATGACATTATATAGCACCCATTGAAGCACACTCCAAACCTTGATGCTAAGCTGAAAAACGCAACGTTAATATTAAGAACGAATCAGTCAGAGAAGTAGGTTTTAGGGATTGCATTACAGGAAGAGAGACATGGAGAGCTGTTTCGGAAGGAAATCCCAGACTGAATGGCTGGGGCAGTTGAAAATATAGCTGGCAATTGGAAGAATGAAAATTGGGGTGTACAAGAGGCCAGAATTAGAAGAATGCAGACGTCTCAAAGGAAGCAGAGTAATGGCACACTAATGGGCTGACTGGCCTCCTTCTATGTTGTAAATGACTCCAAATAGACATTTATCTGATTGGTATTGAGTTTACAATAGTGTCTGCACTTCTAAAGTATGTGACTCAAAATATTTCATTGGCATGTTGTCAAATGGAATTAGATTCAATAGTAGCTTTCAGAAGGGAACTATATAAATGAAAAGAAAGACATCCATGTTGCTGGAAAGACCAGCAGGGCCAGAATGGCCTCTTGCTGTGCTGTATCATGCCACATTTAGTACACCTCCCTATATAAGTCTCAGATTAACTCAGTGATATATGCAATAAATTCTGAAGCACAGTGTAAGCAAATGAAATAACCATTTTATACCAGGAACATGGTATCAGTACAACCAGGTAATTTGTTAGATCAGCCCAGGACATTGGAGGAACTCTCTACTCCTCTTTGAAGTGTGCCATAGGTCATTTCACAGCTATCAAGCAGAAATGTGGCATTAGCTTAATAACCTAACAGTGCATCAGCGAAATCTTGGTGTCCGTGTCTAGTTCATTGCATATAGGCCTTTTATTTGCATAATTTTCAATTGTGATCGGTAGTTTTAGATGAGATGCCAGTGGTTGGATTTATTAGAATTCGGGGATGCTGCTTAAATATCAGGGGTTTCCCATTGAAACTGGAAATGAGAACCTTTTGCTGTCAGGGGGTCATGAATCTGTTGAACTCTGTTCCACAGATAGTGGTGGACACACAGTCAATGAACATTTTTAAAGTGAAACTGGATAGATCTTTGGTGAACAAAAGGCTAAGGTCACAGTGGGATCAACCATGATCTTACTGAATGGCAGCACAGGCCTGATCTCTCCTGCACGTTTGATTGGTCCTACCATGTGCTGAGGTCAGGTGTTGTGTAAGATACAGCCTGGGCCTTATTTTCATGTTCATCCATTCAACTCACTGAACTTTTGGTTCACTCAGATAGTGATATGCACTTTCATGGGACACGTGGCAAGGATTCTTGGTGCAAAATCAAAGAAGGCAGGATCAAGTTAGAGGACACTCATTCTATTTCATTCAATGATATTGCTTGTAAAATCTAACATGCATTAACCTTCATGGTGATGATACACATGACAAGTCTTCATTCAAGGCCAGAGAATGATTCATTGTAGAAGCCAGATCTGTTGCTGCAAGGTTGGAGGGAAACATGGCCAGTGGAAAGCACAATTCCATACACACTACCATCTCAGTTGCAGTGGGGAGAGATTCAGATGATGAAGAGTCATCTAGACTCGAAGTGTTAGCTTGCTGTCTCTCATGGATGCTGCCTGAGCTGCTGTAATCTCCAGCATTTTTCGTTTTCAGTACAGATTGCATTGATAATAAGTTCTGGGTCTCTCCTTGACTGCAAGAGGACTTGTCTAAGCAGTTTAACAGAAGAACGGATGTGATGGACACCAATGGGAGAGGAAGGAGAGAGAAGGGACTGCAACTGCTTTGAAGAGGTTATTAATCATCCAGCTATGCAGGAAAACCTGAATTACTTTAGAAAGGATGTTTCTTAAACAGGAAATGGTTGAGATTCATATTAGAGATTTCTGTTGCAGCATCATTAGTTATCCAGTTGCTAATACTGTCCCAAGGGAGAGGGATGATAATATGCTGGTTTGAGAATTGCAGTTCATACTGGATTTTTATTCTTGCTAACATTGCGGAATGGTAAACGGTAATGAAATTTAGGAAACTTGATTAATTTTACACCATTCCCTCAGCACTGGAGCCAACTTTGGCTGCTACTGCAACTTGGACTGAGAACTCTGGGGTCTTTAACCTGATTACCTGGGTCTACGTTGTCCGGCGTGTTAACAACAAGATCACTTAATGATCATGATCTTGGTCCTGCTCGTTTAGATCAAGCAAACCGTTTAACTTACAGTGTAATTGCAGAGCAAGGAGTATTAAATATAGAGGTAGAAATCTTAGATTGATGATTAGAAATGAATATTTTTCTCATGGAGCTATGGAATGGCTGTCAGCAAGAATTAATTAATACCTAACTGGCATAACAAACAGCAAAGAGCTGACTAATTATCTGTTTGTTAAATGCTCCGAAGTATAAAGATAGACCCTGATGCTGAAATACTCTGGTAGATGATAATGAAGGGATGACGTGATGCAGCTGTTCAGAGGGGAGGGATGCAGGGATATGTGTGTATGTATGTGTTGTGGTGACTTTCTTCAAGTAGCATCACGGCGTAAGGAGAAACTGCAGAGCCTTAGCCTGGAAATTTTGTCTATAGAAGATTAGCCACGCTGAGAAAATCTTTGATTGTCCTTTGTGGACCATCGGTTGCGTCTAAATAATCTGAATGCAACATGATGCTAACTGCAATAAGCAGAAACCAATAGCCTAAAATGTAGGCCAATCCCATTAGTATTTCTAAGGAGGTTAAGTGCTATTATTAGGACTCATTAAGAAGGCCTCTACAATTACCAAACAATATGGAGTGTGACTGCTTGATGCTTTTCAGATGTGCTATGTGAGTCTCCTAAAATCTATCTTATGATTGCTTTTCCTGTTTGTGATCCAATGTTAACCACAAGTTCCAGAATTACTAACTGATTGTACCTTTCTCGCTTTGAGAGTAATTGTTATTTTAATGTTGTCTTGTGATTTCTGTCCTGTTTTGGAATACAGTGCTACGCACACGCTTGGGAAGCAATCTGTCTGTGGCACTAGTAAACAGTTATTACTGTACAAACTATGCAGAAGAACCAATCTGTACAGGCTGTGGGGAAGAACCAAGTTCAGACTAAAAAGCAACCACTAACTGTGTTTGGCTGATTAATGTGCTGCCATGTGTGGGACTTGGGTGTAATGGCAAGGAAGACCTCATTTTCAGTCTCAGGGTGGTACTGTGTTATCTGAGATCAGCCTGGATGGAAAGATGCTTGCCATGATTGTTATTGGGTGACTGAAGTAGTGACTCCCTACACAATCCAATATCCCCAGAGATAGT